TAAAATCTCCCCTTGGATACCAGGGAGTAGAGGGTTACCAATAAAATCTCCCCTTGGACCAGCTGCATCCAGAATTCAACACTTAGACCCAAACATTACCCTATGGCTGAGGAACTGCTATGGGTCACATGACAGTTCTCCAGACAAATGGCCCAACTTCCAGTCACACCTTACTGGAACAATGAGACAGCCTCTGTAGGACAGAGACTCAATCCTGAAGTATCAAAGCAGAATTTCTACCACCCCGGGAAAAACACAAGAAGAGGCAGTATTAAATCTGGGTTGGTTTTGCCTGAAAAATGGTTACACAAATATGCTACCAAAGGAAGGTAGGAATGATGACAGACCCTTGGGTGCCAACCTGGCATTAATGTGTGAAACTGCATGGTACTCAGGAAATGTTCAGCCAGTTTTAGCCAACGTCACTCATCTGGGAATGTAAATTATAACACGGCACTGGCGTGAGACAGAGTGAGCAGAACTTGCACGGGTCATTCTGATCAGAGGACTCTACAGTGCTTTCTAGATGACTGAGTCCATTCTATTATCTCATTCATGTATGCGGGAAACAAGAGAAGCTATTGAAGTGTGACTTACAATGTCTGTACACACTTAGGGAGCAGTTTTACTGTTTATGGATGCAATTAGCAATTGTATAATTTACTTATTTTATTTCCCACCTGCATACAGAAAGGCAATGTGCTGTACGTACTACTGCACAAACTATTTAAGCATTGATTTTAAGGGGTTTCTAGTCTGCTCTTTTGTCTACTTCCACTGATGAGTTTCAAGTCCTTTCTAACTGTTCCTTTAAAGCTTTCATTTTTCTTTGGAAATCCTAAATATATTTTCCTGTAATTTTATTTCTAGACATCACCTTTTATGCTTCCAGAATCAACTTATTAATTTTATCATCATATCAAATCTGTGGCCAAGGATGCAGTCTAACGCCAAATCATAAAGTTACTTTAAAAATATATTTTTAATATTCTCCTACTTGATTAAGCAGTTCTTGGGATGAAGTTTGTAGGAGACAATGTTGTGTACTGTTTCTCTTCAGGAACAGGTCTGTTTCGGGTATGGGATATTATTTCACTATATTCCATCCGTCTGCCTTTCCTTATAGCAACAACCTACTGTCTCAGCTGCCACAGCTTAATAAACAGCGGTCCTAAAGCTGTTTCCATTATGAATAGATTTCTTCTCTAACACATGACCTTAGGCTCAGCTTGTTACCTGCTTTCATCTGTCATTGGTTTTCTCTCTAGGAACGCTATACAGAGACCACATGGTAAAGAAAGTCTCAGCTACAGGAGCATGAGATGCTGCACAGAGGACTGCAGTGCTTTAGGGCATAGCCAACGGGAGCTGCTTCACATAGAGCTGACCTAGCTGGCGCTATCTGCTCACTCGAGTTTTCTCATTGCCTCTGTGTGGTTATGACTGAGAAGTACACTGTTAAATAGCACAAACTGGAGTTTTCTTTTTAAAAATATAGCATAATTAAAGTTCTATATTACATCACATACACCTTATTATAAGGTCTTTCATGTTAAATCTTACACAATTAGACTGTAATCTATGGCTGAACTCTGCCCATCTTACATCATAAGCATAGGTGCTCATTTCAGCTCAGTGATGCATTTGAAAGTTAAACATCCCAAATCAGTACCTTAATCTGCAGCTTTGCTTCTTGAAGTCGGCCTTTCCAGGATGCTACAAATTTAAGGCTATCCACAGAGCAGCCCATCGCCCTGTAAAAGCAGAGCAGAATCAAATGTCATGAGCCCTGACTCACAGGTACAGGGCTAGCAATGGATCATGTGCATAGCAAGCATAAGGCTGGAGGGTGGGGCTGTGGCAGGGTGTTCAATTCCTAGCACCAAACCCCAAACACACCACAGTGTTCTTAGGAAATAAAGTAACAATATAGCTATTTTCAATGACTTTTTTATAACCAAATACCAAAAAAAGAGCCACAAAATTAAGTATAATACCTACAATTTTAACATTAATTGCTTAAGTGCCAATATTCTTTTGAGATTACAAGTTTTTAGGTGGAGGACCTTTGACCTTTTTTTACATTCTCCATTTTGATCATGGTCCTCAACTTTTTTTTTTTTTTTTTTTTNACAGGGTTTCTCTGTAGCTTTTTGGTTCCTGTCCTGGAACTAGCTCTTCTAGACCAGGCTGGCCTCGAACTCACAGAGATCTGCCTGCCTCTGCCTCCCGAGTGCTGGGATTAAAGGCATGCGGCCCTCTCAACTCTTAACACATAAAAGATATTAAGTTTTTATTGAGTGAACTAAATATCCTGAGTAAAAATAAATACCAGTAACTAAACTTCTACATCTTCCTCAGAATATTCTAGCAATCTTCTTTACACTCTATCTTATTACTAACAAGCTCTAAATACACACCGTGAGCTGACACTGGCACCAAGACAAACTTGACCTTAACCATCAGCTCTGTTCACTATGAAAGCTAGCCAGAGCAGCCTCCTGAAGGATCCTGCAAAATCATGTTTTCATGCAGTCAAAGGAGGTAACCACCAGCCACTTGTGGTTAGCGAACACTGTGAGTTTGGCTAATATGCCCAAGAAAGTAAACCCCTTACTCAATAGTTTATGCTTAAATAGACCATTGGCTACTATTATGGACAGTGCAAGTCTGGATTAAAAAAATGACCAAAGTTAGGAATTTTAAAAATTTCCAATTCTAATAAAGCAATGATATTGAAATTAAAATCTGACTGTTATTAAAGATAGGCTATGAGGAGAAGTAATAAAAAAACTTACATAGGTTTCAAGAATAAATTTATTCTTGACAATCAGGACACTAGAGGTGAATAGGTAAAACGTAACTACCCCCAGGGAAAATTAAGGTATTCACTCTGACTACCTCGCGGTTTCCTGGCGAAGTGCGTTAAGGAATGTGTCTGGATGGAAAAGTTCAGACAGGTCAAGGGTATCAGAGAGAAGAACTTGCTTTTCAGCTTTATCAACCCAATTCTAGAGGAAGAAGGGGAAACAAATATATAAACATATAGTTAAACATAAGCCATTTTCAACGAGAATGTTATATAGTCATTTTCCAATTGCTCTGAAATAGTGTCTAGAAAAAATTTGAGACTCTCATGCTGTCTTGCAAAAGCCTGATAGAGTAACTGCTATCTCTAACCATCATAAGTAAGCCTCCAGGTGCAAGCTCTTTATTGTAAACACCTGTTCACAATGAAACTGAAAATGGGATATTTCCGGTTATGTACAGCAGGTGGGGCTGGGCCCTCACCAGCAAGCAGTGAAGCATGCTCAGTGTACACGGATACAGAGTTGCAAACCCTGAGTCCTGAGCATCCTCCCTTCTCAGCAACACACAGGCCAATGGCTGAGAAGAAATGAGTCTGTCAACAAGTTGTAATGGAGTCTCGTCATACCTGCTACCTCAGGTCGGTTCCACCTGGAATCACACGTATCAACATAGTACTGGATAAGTATTTAGAAGCTGCCACTTACAACAAATACAACAGCAATTCTGAGCAACAGCAAGTGCAGGCTAACATTAACCAACTGTGCATACCACCATGCTGCAAGGTAGAACCTTGCGTTAAGGTACAATAAGGTCAAAGATTACACAGCAGCTGTTAAAACCAAGACATAACTGGTTTCTGCTAAGATTTCCAGCAGGTCCTGATGCTAACAAGTGGCTTCCTGTCGCTCTCTGAAGCAGTCTACCACTTCAGCTGGTGCACAGAGGTGGGACATAGGAATGTCAGCCATTAACCCATCAAAGATGGCCACTTACTTGGTAACTTGTTTTACATGATTTATAAATAGTCGAAGAAGACCATTAGTGCTACATTAGCAGAAAGCAATGAGCTCCGTGTTCTAGAACAGTCCACTTCATGCCTTCCTAGCTCAGCCAGGATGAGATAACGATAATGATGATTATTATTATAACAATCAGACACTTCGGTCTCCATGTATGCATAGTTGTCCCAATGTACTTGACCAGTACTAAGTCCTATGACAAAGATACCTCTATATCCTTGTATTGGACATGTGTTGATATTTTAACAAAAGATTTAAAGAGATTCTTATAAACAATTGCAAATCTCCCTCTAGATACTATGCTTTATAATAATGCTGTGTTTAATTTATCTAATTTGTCTTTTATTATTAGCTAAATATCTAAGAAGTTACTCTTTTAAATGAATCATTTAATATAAATTTACAATTATACTATTAATTCTTTAAAATCAATTTTGAATCCTAACACCCTAAAGAGTTGTTGCCAGAAGTGAATTTATATATGCTCAAACTAATTAAGAATTAGAGAACAGCTGATAATCAGATTTTTACTTCATTAAAGTTTAGATGAAGATAATTAGTCAAGGAAGGAAAGTTTCTTTGGTAAAAATGTTATTAGTCCATGGTAAAAAAAAAAATAAAAATGTGTTAGTTAAAGCTAGATTAATTAAGATGCTGTTTGAAAGCTAGGACATCTAATGAGGCCTCTTTTCATTGTGGTAACTGGTTAGAGAACCTCACAGGAACGGAAGAATTGTTTTCTCTTGACATCTAAACTATACTCATACTGATTTATGAGCATGCAGCTAAAGAATTAGGCACCAGTGTTTTTAATAAGAAATGTATACAGACAAACTGGGGTCAAAACAAAACTGTAGTGACCAGAATCACACGGAACATCTTCTTGGTCAATGACTCTCCTTCACTCATGTCATGGTGACAGCCACTGACGGGTGAGTTTCAGATAAGACCCAATACCTCTAGTTTCATCTAAAATTATTAACCTTCATGTCTGTAATTCCTTAAATGATATGCAATAAATATAGTTACAGAGATAGGTGAAGTGAGCAGCCAACAGGATAGCCTGACAAATGGGCCAGGCAATTTCTTAAACATCACACAAGCACCTAACCTCAGAATAGTAGGCAGGGCAACTCCTGGCTTAGGCCACAATGAATCCTGGAGACAGGCAAGCATAGTTTCTTACTACACCGTAAAAGAAATGGCTTTCCCAGTGAGTATGGGAACTTTTTAAATACTGCAGTGTCAGAACATGGCCCAAGATTGGAGTCCTGTAAAGAGAATTCTGAGTGCCTGTGAGAAAACTTCAAGAAGACAAGAGTCTAGTGACATTTATTTAGACAAGAACACACTGTTCTTGGGATGTGCTGCCCTGCCCTTCCAGGTGTAGCAGGCAGGAGTGACTTCACTTCAGATTATTTATTACAACTGCTATTATTTGTTTTTAATTCCTCTATGAAAAAGGTTTTTGTTTGCTTGTTTTTGCGATATGTGGCTTGCCCTGGTGATTGTACACTTTACTCATGTGACTCCTCTTAACCCTCGAATAAAGTTGGTGATTGCAGGAGACTTTTGTCTGCCACATTTTTAGGCTCCACTACCAGATCCAACCGTCAACTGCACTGCAGTATTGAGCGCTGGTCATAAGATAGTTTAGAAGCATTTACTCTATGACAAAAGCTCACGAGATAGGAGATGAGATGCCACAAACAACGGACAAAAGGTAGAAAGGAGAAAATGGCATTAAAACGTAGTATTTTATCAAAGTTCTGCTTCTTTATGAATTTTATATATAGAATTGAATAATAAAGCTGTTTCCTCATTAACATTAGTTAGGTCAGCTATAACACAACCAAGTATCATTTTTATACAGGCTGGACATACTACAAATGTGTAATTTTGTCAAATTTGTAGATATTGTCTGCAACTCTTTTACATATTAAAATGAGACTGTAGGCTGTTGTAGGAGGCCGCTTGTTCGTTTCCCGGCCACCCAGACTACTGAAATAACCACACAGAAAGTGTATTAATTAAATCACTGCTTTAAAATTTAAAAATTTAAATCTGACATAAAAATGAGTGGATGTTTTATATAAAATCCTGTCTCTGTCCCTACTAAGGTTATTTCATCGGCAAGTGTACACATGGTAGTCGGAGCCACACGTTCAGCTATGCGAGAATCCATTCTCACCTGAATTGCAAGGGCACGGGCCACAAGACCTCGCAGGTACTGGAGGGGGTCCTCGGGGCCTTCCCACTTGCTCTGCCATGTGAGAGGACACTGCAGCGTAAAAGAGGGAAAATCAGTTTACAGGGACGACAATGTGTATAGACTTTCACGACAGTTAGCAATGTCTGAAGCTAAGATGGAATTCATTAAATGTAAAACCTCTAAAGGAATGTTCACATCCACTACTCATTGGGAAACTAATCAACAGCATTTTCTTGGAGTGATATTTGGTACAGTACAAAATCAAAGTAAAAATTTAAAATTGCTAAAGACAAAATGGGTCTTGGTCTACCCACAGAGGTGCTGGGTAGACAATAAGGAGACGCTAACTCAAGTGTGTGCCCCAGATTAAAACCAACAACAAGAATAACAGAGCAGCTCTTTTTAAAAACTGCCTTTCTAAGAGCTGACCACGTCAGTCTTCACTAATACGCACTCTGTACTTGAGAAGTATTCAGTAAGGACATATATACTATAACACACTCTGTACATACATGAGAAGTATTCGGTAAGGACATATGTACTATAACACACTCTGTACATACATGAGAAGTATTCGGTAAGGACATATGTACTATAACACACTGTACATACATGAGAAGTATTTGGTAAGGATATATGTACTATAACACACTCTGTACATACATGAGAAGTACTCGGTAAGGACATATAACACACTTCTGTGCTAAATTTCTGGAGTTTCAATATATTTAAAAAATACCAACAAATTTTATATTACTTTAAGTATAGTAGCAGCACAATAATTTTATGCCCATTCACCCTCTGACCATGTAAGTGAGAAAACACTACAGTCTAGCCTGCATCAATCATCAATAATGTAGAGAAAACTAGAAACATGTAATAGCAAACCTAAGAATAGAAAGGGAACTTAGAAGACAACACATACTTTAGGGGCATCTAACCATTCTTAGAGATAAGTGCCAGAGTCAGGACTGAAACTGATGTGGGTTCAAAACATAAGTTTAAATAAACAACCTGAAGATGTAACTCAAGGAATGAGAAGATAAACCAAGTCCAAAATGAGGAAAAGTTAAATAATAACTACCACAGTAGAAATTAGTAAAACAGAAAATAAAATATTAATGATCAACAAACAGCCAATATTTTGAAAAGCAAACTAATAAATGTCTTATTAGTTTAAGCAACAAAAGACACAAAGTCAAAGATGATAGATAAAGGAGTCTACTGATATCACAAAAAATTGAAAATCATTCAGGACTGTCAATGTGTACAAGTATGTGACAACAAACAAAATGGCTCCATTCTTGGGCCTCTAAACCTGGGACTAGTGAGATGTTTCTGTGGGTGAAACTTGCTAAAAGCCCAAGGACCTGAGTCCCGCATACTGGAAGCAAAGAATCTACTTCTGCAGTTGACCTCTGACCTCCATAAAGACATGCGATCACAAACACAAGTTAATGTGATAAAACCTTGCAAAGTTAAATGATGAGAGAAAACATTAACAAACCAGAAACGAGGATGAATTGGTAGCAGTAGTAGTAGTAGTAGTAGTAGTAGTAGTAGTAATAATGATAATAATAATAATAATACACCTCTCAGTAAAGGAAAGGCCAGCTGCACTGCTGAGCTATGCAGAACTTCCAAGGAGGACTTCCACTGTGGGGACACAGCCCCAATAGGACAGACAGTGCTTGCTAGCATGGAGAAGGCTTTGTGTTCAATCCCAACCCCTAAAAATAGAAAAGAGAAAAAAGAAAGAACCCACAAAAGTCTGCTGGGCTTCATACTATGCACATATAATCCCCGTACTTGAGAGTCAAAACTGGAGGACAAAGTCAGCTACACAGTATGCTGGAGGCCAGCCTGAGCTACCTGAGCTATTAAACATAAACAAGCCACACATATAACAACTTCCTTTAAACTACAGAAAATTTTTCAAAGGAACGGGAGCCATCAAACTCATTCCACAAGACCAGTGCTACCGTCCAAAGCCAAACAAGGACACAAATAAAATAGAGCATGCTATCTCTGATAAACCAAAGCCCTTCGAGTCCTATATCACATTATTAGAATATTAGATCGTACTCCTTGGATATAACTCCTGCGCAGTCCTGGAGTTATAGATGTGTGCGCTGCTTCTGCCTTTTCCACAGGGGAAACTTGAGTTTTCATGCTTCTATGTGAACCACTTTATCAAAAGACCTTTCAAAGTCTAATACAGAATACTCAACATTATATATGACACCTATGACCCAGTTAGGAATTTAGCCATCTGGTATTCATTTGCTGTGATTGTTGCAATGCCCATGAAGAAGCACTCAGCAGACATTAAGAGCTGAGGGAAAATGAAATATTATAAAAATTAAACATCTAAGTCCCATTTATAAAAATAGTTATTAAGGGAAGGATTTCATATAATTAAGTCTTTAGCAGCCTTTGGTCCTTTATCTTCAAAGTTATCCAAAAGAAGAGTGAGAGATTTCCATCCCAGAAAATGATTTAGTTACTGATTTTATTTGTTGATTATGTCATATGTCTCCAGAATGACTAACAGAAGCAAAAGCAGTCAGGTTGTGCACATATGACTGTGGCGCATGTCTGGATGTGCATGTGCAGGTTACCAGCATCCAGAACTCTCATGCATCTCCAGGAATCTGAAAGCAGATATCAGAAGTGTGGCTACAGGGAGAGGTGATATACCAAGATCCTATAGTGGAAAAGCAGAGAATACACAGATCCTGTGAAATCTAGGTAGTGAAAGACAGTGCGGTCTAACATGGTACTAGGCAAAATCATCTCAAGAGGTTCCTCAAAAGACTTAGAATGAAAGAGAAGTGACAGTCCCAGCAACCTGCACAGGCACAACAAACATCTATCTCACTTCAAAAGTAGTTTCAGAAGAAATCCGGAAGCTGCATAGCATGTCCTAGGCAGAGCATGCAGAGAACCACATTTATAGTCAGACCATTTAGCTGGGCAGAAGAGAAAGAATTGTTTCTTCTCAATGTCCCAAAGGCTCCGGTATCAGCTGGTTAAACAAGTGACTACTTCGAGAATCTGTAGGCTCGGGAAATTGGTGGGACTTAGATTTGTGGATGTAAGTCTACTTGGTGGGAAGGGAAGAAAAGGGAAGCAAAGGGCATTTCCAGATGAGAACGGCAGCCCCGCCTCTGAGAAGGGGTGAGCTGGCCAGAGTCCAACCTGACCAGGGTATGCAGGGTTCCTCGAGGGTTTGGGCTTTCTATACTCAGAGCCCCAGAGGGACTTGTGAGAAGTCCTCTTTCCTAGGCCCTGAGCACTGCCAGAGTAGTCTCCAGACAAGCAGCAGCCTCAGGTGGAACATTTCCAGGGAGGCCCTTTCCTTACTGCCAAACCCGGTTCCAGAAAACATGCACAGATCAGCCCCAGAGCACACAACATGCATTCTAGTAGGCAAAGCAGGCCAGGGATGAGCCTGCAAGCAGCTCTTCCTGCTCTAACGGGATGGGGTTCAGAGAGAAAATGAAGGAAACCCTCCTTTCTCACCCCAAAGCTGCACAGATCAGTGAAGCGTTTCTACCCCTTTCTTCTGTGATGTGCACTCCTCTGCCCTCTGCTTTTCCTGACTGTACTTCCTCCATCTCTGTTTATTTACTGGATTATCTTTCTCTAGTAACTCTTACGACTTTATATTCCCACATTTGTTTTCTTCCTCTGTCCACCCCTTTCTCTGTAACGCCTACTCTTCCTTATTCTCTAAGCATCCTGCTCTCCTCTACCCTCACTAAGGTTAGAATTGATAGTGGCTTTCCTCGGTGTGCTTAAATATATGGTCTGTTTTTGAATTCTTACTATTTCTGCAGTGTGTTTTCACTCTTCCAAGTGCCAGAGAAGGCTGCCTACTGATAAGATCCTCACATAAGACAGAAAGACAAACCAAACACAGCAGAGAAGCAACTCAGAAACAATGCCCATATACATACACACATGTGTAAGCCAAGATGGAGCCTCCCAAGCCTCACACAGCTCCTCAACACAGAAACAATGCCCATATACATACACACATGTGTAATCCAAGATGGAGCCTCCCAAGCCTCACACAGCTCCTCGATACCTGGGTCCAAAGAAAGGGAAAGGACTCAAATGGCACCAGACTGGGAATGTAAAGGCTTAATTTTAAAAATGTGTGGTGACCTCAAAGAGGGTTCACACAGAGAGAGGGGGAAGGAAGTCCATTTGAGATTTGGTCTAGAAAGCTAGGAACTTAAATGAGATATTTAGAAAAAAAAGATTGAGATTTTGAAGAAAAATAAAAGGAATAGATATCTTAGAAGTGAAAATCTCAATAAATTTTCTGTGGAAAGAATTACTGAGACAAGATCTAGCCAGCTTCCCGGAAAGAATGTCAGGAACAGAAGACAAGGTTGAGACACTATTACATTAGACAGAAATAAACATCAATTATTTCAACAATTCTTGGGAACTCTAAGAGTACAAGAGATAAAAACCAAATGAACAGAAAAACCTATCTAAAGATATTATAGCAGGATATGTCTTTCCCAAGTCTAGGGAAAGACATGGACATCCATATATGAGAAGCACTTCAGACCCTCCATAGACTTGGCAGCCCACTGAAGACACCTCTCCCTCCTCTCTGTATATCCTGTATAAAGTATATGTATATATATATATATATAGTTTCTGTAAAACTTATGCCAACTACATGGATTTTATTATTTTCTAAAATGCTCCAGTTATTTAGGAAGAGGAGCAGCGATTCCTCTTCTTCTGGTGAACATATCCTGATGTTCACTAGAGTCATCCTTCCTCTGACCTCATCACTTGTTCATCTTCAGCTCCTCCACAGGCATTTGGCTGAAGTTTTAGTCTCTGTGAGAAGCACTATCTGCCTGCAAAGAACTTGGACACAGGCACGCTCACAACCCAACTGATTTGGAACAAAGCAGATCTTAGGATTTTGCTTAAGTTGCTAGGAAACAGTTTAGAACTTACAAGGTTTAAGATTTGGTGTGGTAGGTTACCAATATATATAGACTTGTCCCAAAGTGAAATAGAAATGGATTCCATTACATACACAATGAAAAGATGGTCGCAGAAGGGGTCACAGGCTGATGTACACTTGCATCAAGCAGATTTAATGTTTCCACTAGCCTCATTGCTAGTTTTCCAACCCAGTGTATTCTATCTACATAGCTTCTTCCATGTCAACTTTCAGTTTTTTGCTACTATTAACTATAGGATTCCTGGTAGATATATTTCATGAAAGGAAAGTCACACAGGTAACAGAATAACAATTGAGAGACTTTGGATTGTCTTACCTTTTGGTTTAATAAGGCACTTGCCAGTTTTTGCACTTCTGAACTCAGTAAAGTAGTCCCTCTGATGACTTTGCTGAGGGCAGCAAGAGACTGATGGACACTCTGTACCAAGCGGATGGCATTGAACTGCTCAAGAATGATGAACGATAATATTGGAGATCCTTGTTGGTCATTGGGAGGTGACACTTTCTGGTGGATTAGGTTTGAATTCTAAAAGAACAAGGTCATGTCACAATTAGAGTAACATCAATGACACACCAAAGTATGTATAAGGTCAAAAACTGCTTGTGAGTTCCTACTTCTGAAAAGTCCATTTTACGGATGAGTCTGCAAATAGGGATTTCTGGACTGTTGCTGATGTTTAGGGGTACATGGGGTGGAAACACCAGCAAAACAACAGTCACTGAAGAACAAGGTCAGTGCATGAGGAAGGCACAGAAGAAGGGGATCCTCTAACTCAAGGTACCGCCTCACAGGGTGATTGGCTGTCTGCTGTCCCATTCCACTGTGTCCAGACTTGGGGAAAAACACACTTGCAAAGCTAGCCCTTTACACCTGCAGCAACTATTCCTTTCACGCCAGTGTACTGGCTTTTACCAAATTACTGAAGACATAATTATTCAAAACCAAAAGCATTTCATGCTCGCTCCCTCTAATTTAGTTGAAAATCAAGCTATATTACTTAAGTAAGGAGTACTTGGACTACATAAGTATGTGGTAATTAATAATTTAAGTTGCAACTGCTGAAGAATGCAAACAGAAGGCAAACGTGTGGGCCGGAGTGGGGGTTTCCTGAGAGCCCAGCAGCTGAGCTGGCAATCGATACACATCGTGTTTGTTAGGAGATTCCCCTCTCTCACATTTTTAAATGTATAAGGTATGCACAAATAATGCATAAAAGAGTCTCCCTTATACTAACATCACACAGCATGGTACTTCTCACCAAGGGAACCTACTCTTCTGAGTGTTTGCTGGCTCCTAGCATCTGCCCTACACAGATGTACAGCAGCAGGATCCAGTCAGAGCTTACCTGGGACCTTGAGCATCTGATAAGACAACCATCACCTTAGACTATAGCCTCTCCTGAGGGGGCAGGGTCTGACCAACTCTATAGTTTTCCTCCAAGTCTATGTCCCAATTCCCCCAGACACTCCCTCTTCCACTAGCTCAGGTAGGGAGTGGAGTGGGGGTGGTATTTCCTGCAGTGTTTGAACTCCTACTGTTACTTTTTTGGCTGTTTGACAAATTATGACAAATTGCTTATATTCAATGTCTTGTCTTAGTTATGTTTCTATTGCTGTGATAAGAGATACCAGTACCTAGGCAACTTAAGAGAAGAAAGATGTTATTTGGAAATTACAGTTTCAGAGGTTTAGAGTCTATGACCATCATGGTGGGGAACAAGACAGCAGGCAGGCAAGCATGGTGCTGGGGCAGTATCTGAGAGCTTGTATCCTGAGACACAATGTGAGAGAGAGAGAGACAGAGAGAGAGGGAGGGAGGGAGGGAGGGAGGGAGAGAGAGAGAGAGAGAGAGAGAGAGAGAGAGAGAGAGAGAGAGAGAGNAGAGACAGAGAGACAGAGAGAATGAGAATGGCCCAAGTCTTTTTGAAACCTCAAATCTCAAATCTATGTAAGTTGTTTTCTTTCAAACCACCACATTTAACCATGTAGTTAAAATGCCTGCTCTATTTTCTGCTTTGCTGAATAGAACCCTACAAACAGAAAGCAAGCCACTGGAATCATTTAGTTCTCTGAGGTAGGGAGTGGATAGAGTCCCACTGAGATCTACTCCTGAAGGACTTGCTGGAACCACAGCAATGCTGGCTGAGCTCGAGAAGTTGTGCCAAGCACACTGGACACTACTAGGACAATAGTGGAGGCTTCTGTCCAGCCAAGGACAGACCCTAGTATGTTCTCTGTCATCATAGTCTATGGTTTACTATAATCTAAAAGAAACTAGACAAGTCTCAGAAACAAAGAAATGATCAATTTAAAAGAAAATTTAAAGTCCAAGAATTTAAGAAAGCACTGTTTCTTTTAATTATTTTAGCACTGCGGATTGTTAGTCTAACACAATTCATTCTTCTGAAGTTAAGCTACTGAGTCAAAATTTTACTTGAATACACAAATCCATTTGTCAGAATAGACAAAATATCATCTCTGGATTAACTCATGTTCAGAAAAAAAAAGCTCATCATGTGTTTTTCTTCCAATAGACTCTAAGAGTCAACAGAAGATGTTTCATGTATACCTTGTGTCGCTTAAGTAATTTAAATGAGAATTAATGATAGCGCCGGAACTATAGAAATAGATGTAAACTGGCCAGGAAGTCAGTAAGTCTCAATAATTGTTGCCAAGTACTAAATTGCCAGCCAGGTACTAAAGTTACTAGGGCGAAGTTCTCGATAATAAACACTGAAAACAATATCCGACCTTCTGATGCACACACACAGAGTGCCAGATGAGGACACAGTCTCCTGTGCTGTGTTTGTCAGCATTTTTTTTAAAAAAAAAATCACTGTTTTACAAGTTTACTATTAGCAATTTTCTTTATGGAAATATTAGAGAAGATTTTAAAAGTAAGGTAAGCTGTGCATCTGATAATGCAAAAGCTGGCAGAATAATATATAAGTAAGAGTTAATAAAATGTAGTGTTAATATATATATAAATATGATGTAGGAAGGTAATCTGTCTATGTGCTAATTTCATTGCTTAATAAAGAAACTGCCTTGGTCTTTTGATAGACCAGCCCTTAGGTGGGTGGAGTAGACAGAACAGAATTCTGGGAGGAAGAAAGCAGTGAGGCAGACACGATGATTCTTCAACCCAAGACGGATGTAGGCTAGAATCTTTCCTGGTAAGCTACCACCTCGTGGTGCTATACACATTAATAGAAATGGGTTAAGCAAGATGTGAGAATTAGCCAGTAAGAGGCTAGAGCTAATGGACCAGGCAGTGTTTAAATGCATACAGTTTGTGTGTTGTTACTTTGGGTATAAAGCTAACCATGCCGGAGCCAGGTAGGATGAAAAGCAGGTCTGCCTGCTGTTCCTTTTACATAACTATATATTTGTATATTATATATTTTCCTTTTAAAAAGCTATATTCACAAACAGGCATGCATGCCAACTTAAAGTTTCACAAAGTTGTAAAGATAAATAATGTTCAAAATAAGTTTGAGCTTACAATCCAATCTTTATTAGATGCCAGTAGCCTGTGAAGAAAATTATACTGAGTATCTATGGTATGAGCTCGACACCTGCACAGCCAAGCACTGACAAAGGCCCAGTGTTTGTTTCCACAGCATAACTTAATTCAGTTCCATGCCCTGACTAAGCTTCTTAATTGAATCTATTCTTTACAATGTATCGATTTTGCTCTAAAAACATAAACCACTTTCTATCAGCTCTCCATCTCCTTAATTCGATGAATTCCTCTTGCACAAGAATAACATGGAACCACTGCAGTATATTAGACCCCTTTAAGGTTGGCCTTAGCAACAAAGATGGCAGACTGGTCCTTCTCCCTCAGATGCCATCTGCTGACACTGTCACACAGCAACACAGAACCTCCTCTGGACAGTCACTTAGTCACTTAACTGTGAATAAAGAGCATGAAAGGGACTTGGCTGTGTGTCCAAGCTGATTGTCTTCTCTGTCATAGTCACTAGCCCTCAATACCACTTCTACCATACAACAGACCTCAATCCATTCTGACGAGTTCCTCAGTCATGAAGTAAAATATCACTTCTGAAGTAAAATAGCATTCTGAAGTGAATAATGAGGCACAATGAAAACTGGGGTAGCTCCTACTACACAAATGATTCTCACTGTTTAACAAGTGAATTCCTGTGGATTCAAGAGGCATAGTTAACCTGCCTAGTTTAAAACATGGTTTCATATTTTGCAGAAAGGACACCATTGTAAATCAAAGGGTTTATGGCTGGGTTAGTGTATACAATTCTCCTTTAGGAGCATACAGAATTTCTTCCAGTACCTAAGATGCTGGAACATAAGGGTTTAGACTCTATGTAGGCACCAGTCTGAATTCTTCATGTTCAATAAATTATGTAGGTGCTCTCTTAAATATAAGTTTTTGTGGAGTAACCCAATCCTATAGTCTTGGCAATAGCCTGAGTTGCTTGGGGGTTCCCCTGGGACCTTTTTGGCTAACAAGTTAAGATAGATGTAACCCAATATAGGTACTGGATATTCATGTGGTGACAAGAAACATCCCTCATTATTTGGCGATTTCATTTTAATCACCTACCTTCATATATGTATACATTTAGGAAGCTTCTACTGTATTAGGTTTCCACACCACCCTTCAAATGGTTCCTTAGTTTTAGCTGTCTCTCCCCATATTCCTGGCCTTGTCCCCCATCCCAGCCCCCCTAACCATCCATAACTATCTATTCTATTTACCTTTCTTAGGGAGATATATCTATCCCTCTATTCCCTTACTTTAAACCTAAAATCTGTGGTTCTACAAATCATAGCTTGGTTATCATTCAAAGTTTGTGGGAATAACTTGACTTAACTTGAGTAATCAAGACCCTGACTAGATAGCCAGGGTACCTAGGATAAAACTAAATGTTTAAAAAAAAAAAACTCCTGGACCTAAAGTTAAGAACAGTTAACTCTAAGCCACCATGTCAGTGTTGAGAACCAAGTCCAGGTTCTCTGTACTAGCAGCCAGCGTTTTAACAGTTGAGCCATCTCTCCAGCGCTCAGGGGGAAGTTTTAGCACTACAACTTTATTTTTATAAGACTTTAAATGGATTGTGGAGCTTTAAAAAAGCAGTTATTAAGCAGCTAGTTAGCAGGATGCCTGGTGTCTCACAGTGTTTGGTTAATTGGATGTGAGATCAGACGCACATGGAAACATAGCTTTTGAGTATCAAACAGATAGAATAAAATAAAATAAATTGCAATACACATGCCAGTGGAGATGAGGAGCAGAGGTAGAGCACACAAGAGGAAAAAGTCCAATCACCCACAAATGGTTGACAATCCGACTAGCAAGCTCCAATACAAAAGAATGGTAACAATGCTACAAATGGCGGTGCAGCTAGACCTTTTGTCATTCGTTGTATGTGATGAGGGAGTGAGGATCTTCTTGGAAGCAAAGATCTATGGGAAGTGCTTTCACGTGAGAGGCTGCTCCCTCTCAGCCAAACGCCACCACATCCATTCTTTTCATTCCAGTGCTGAAGCTTTCAAAAGGTGGTGAAAACAGTAAGAGACCCACATGGTTCATTTTTGCATTACAGCAGTGCCTGGAATGTATTTATTTGGCTTTTATTCCTCTGTTTAAAACCGCCACACAAGAACTCACAGCAGTTGGGAAAATAGGCACAAGACCTGCACAAGCTCAAGTCAGACAGCACTGAGGTGCAAGGGAAGTAGGGCAGGGGGCATGGACAAGAAGCCCCGCCCGAGGTCGGGAGCAGACATCCCAGCATGACCTGAGGGGGCATAGACAGGAAGCGTTGCCCTAGCTCAGGAGCTACTACTGTTAAGCCACCCAGCATGGAGGGCAGGAGACATGGACACAAAGTCCTTGTCTAAGCTCAGGAGCTACTGTTAGCTAATGGCCCCTGAAGGCAGACCATTCTCTAGTGACGGCCACACACCACAGCATATATGTGCATATATGTGCAAACAAACCAGACTATAGGGTTTTAAAAAATGACACAAAGCTGGGTGGGTATGGAAGAGGGGTTACATCTGGAGGAACTGTGAGGTGGTCAATATGCTCAAAATTCAGTGTATAAAGTTCTTAAAAAATTAATAAAAATCTTTTAAAGAGTTCAACCTGAGGTAGTTAAGAGTACTAGCCGTACTAACTAATGGCCTAAGTACTACTATTAACTCTGCTAAACTCATTTCTTGACGGTAGTCAGACCTCACTATTAGCTATTCATTGAAAAGTCGCGGTCATCATTACTCCCAGAAGAAGCTCTCCTAAAATAATTTCATTCATATGGACTGAAAACTTCCTTAATGTGCAGTGAAATGTGCATTTTGAAATGACTGGCCATGCCAATCTAGATGCATTTCTCTATAGACCCATGTCCATTTCGTTTTTAAGATAAGCTCCTTTGTTAATTACATCTACAAAATAAATACTAAAAAAAATGCTACTTTTCTACATTATTTAATTAGCAAGGAATGACCAATGGGTCCATAACACAGACACCAATGTCATCCTCACGCTGTAGGCTTCATAATCATTAATTAGTCTAGGTGTTAGAGCGGTTTATGACTTCCTCCATTTCACCAAGCAGGCAAATAGGCAAGAGGAAATAAGGTAAAATGGGCAGAACCAATCTAGACATATACAAAGTCAACAATGTCCTTCTATGTCCCATGCTCCAATACCATATTACATTGAAAGTCAGTGAGAAAACACCTGCTTTCTGCCTTAGCTACATGGTTAGTATGGCTTTGTAATACACTATGTTAAACTAAAAGTACATGAAAACCATTGCTACAGCAGAAAAGGTAGAAAAGCATTCTTTTCCACCCTGGGGGCCATCCGCATTCCCACATTAGAGTTTCATTTGTAAACAGACTTCGTCAGGGTCCTCCCCCTCCCTTCCTCTATTTGCTGGTGTCACCTTTGACCCACACCACCATGCCTAACCTGCCTCTCTGATTCTGGTTCTGCTCTCTCAGACTGTCTAGACCCAGGAATGTACACCCCAGCTGGTAAGGTATTGATTTGATTCTGTCCTAATAATGAAAAATAATTCCTTTGTTCATTAAAAACAAAAACGAGTGAGACCAAAAGTCCTAAAAGTGAGACCAAAACTATGGCATTTCACCAGAATCTACTTCCATGTGGCCCTGAGGTGACAGCTACCTTGTCCCATGGTTAGATTTCATACAGACTAAACATGTTTGTTGGTTTGGAGGAACCTGAACAGAGCCCAGGGCCTTGCCATGCTGGACAGTCACTGTCCACTGAGCTCCAGCCCCATTGTTAGCCAATAAGGATGCATTGCTTTCACTTACTTGTTCAAGAGAGAGCTGGTTATTAAAGCTATGATCCATAGGAGGGACAAGTATCAGCATAAAGCTTGTGACCCCATTTCTTTTTAAATTCCCTTCTACCCAATCTGAAAATAGTTTAAATAAAGATGTTCAAATATGAAATGTTATTTTAAAAATTATATAATTTATTTTTGAAGGGAAAGGTAATAAACGTTGTTCACAGTGAAGGGAGGGTTGTGGTATAAATCTACACAGCTTTGCTAATTCAGTTCCCTGGACAAGGACATTTTCCTCCTTGAATTTAATCAGTGAATGTATTTTTGTCTTTTCCTGACTATACATAGTTACTCTGGTTTTATGGTTGCCTTCATAAGACAAACAGGTATGGGAATTGTGGTTTCTTGGTTTGATATAGGATAGTTTTAGGAAACTCTTCATTGTCTTGTTTCTAATTTCACTTAACTGCAAATGTTGATACATGTTTTAAAATACCAACCTAAAGAACTGATAAAGCAGATCGGTCATCATCATTAGAAGTCACCTCTGGGGCACAGGGGTTCACACCAGTGCTAAGCAGCACAGACCTCTCTGCCCGACAACGGCACTGCTGCTGTCTGCACTCACAATCACTGCCATGCTGGCTTCTAGTTCCTTCCCTAGTTGGCTTTGCGGTGATATAGTGTGATCTCGACATGAAAAACCTACCAAGTAAGGTAGGCCATAAGAACACAGTAAGGACTTTACAGACTAAAGTGATGCCAGAACCACGGTCCACAAAAGGGAACATAAATGAACTTTGAACATAAACAGGTTAATCTATTAATGAAAAGATCTAATAGCCAGAAGCTAATAACACTTTAATGTACAGGCAACAGGCCAGTGTGATTCACTGTCCTAGCACCAGTAAACTTCGGATAAGATGGCTGCAGTGGACACAAGTCAGGCAGCACAGCACAGCTCCAGGGGCTGGAGAAAGGGCACAGGGAAAAGAGGTAAAAAATTTCAATCCTTCCATGACTAACCTGGTTGAGTTTCTTCCAGAGATTGAGGATGGGGGAAAGTTCATTAGACCAGATTTCTCTGTCAAATTTGCAGCCAGCTGTGACAGATCTTCCCAGGATCCTGAGCTGGGAGATAACCTGAGTGAAGAGAGCACATCCAGTGAGTCACTCAGGCAGGGAGAGCATGGCAGCGTGACAGCTGGAGAGTGCTCACACGCGTGCCATCCTTGGGTCGCTATCATTTTATTTGAAAAGACTGTACAGTTGAGGATAAGTATTCTAAAATTAAACATTGCAACAGTTGTCAGAAACGAGGCTTTTTATGCAGGAAGTACACACTGTGCCACTATGAATGCCTCCCAGCCTCTCTTCTTGTTCATTTCAAACTCTACAATGCTTTTCATTTCCACTGATCTAAATCTTACCGTCTCAAATACTAACAATGTATTTAAAAATGCAGCACAGAACAGATACAAAGCAAGTGGCTCCTAACTGCTCAAGAGTTGTTTAGATTTTTACTGCTTAATTTTCAGTTTCCATTTCAATATTCCCTCTAAACAAAAAGCCCCAAAGAAATACATACAGATCAATTAATTAAAGTGAAACTAAGTAAACATTACTCCCGTTGGGAGCCTTACTGCTTTAGCTTCATCATTGTTAGAGTCTTCGTTGTGCCCATCAAAATCAATCACTTGCATTTTCTGTTCTAAATGAAATCATGCCCACTAGGCCTTATGTTAGAAGTGTTTGCTAAAGATGATCCAGAACTGACTAGCACTGGACCATGGACATGATGGTGGCTGTAAAATACTAAGCTAGTCAGGGACTGCTCCTACTAATATTCCAACTAACCAGTAAAACCCTGTTACCATGTGGCTTATCTAATATAGATAAATGAGCCAAGAAACCCAGCCCATGTCTCTCAGGGCAGCATCCATCTGAACCCCCACAGCACGTTTGAGAGATATGAGCTGTCTGTCTTTGCAGCACGTTTAGATTTCATACTTAAGTTTCACTCTTACATTAACAGGCCTTGTAATAAACTAAGGACTATATATCTTTTAGAATGAATGTGCTAAACATACACCATCACAGTGTTGGATTCAATTCCTGGAGCTTTTGATTGATTTCCTAGTCTAAAAACATTGTGGAGATTCAGTGTTTGACTTTCTTTGTTTCCTGACAAATCGTCTTCATTTGCCGTAGCTGAACTCTACATAGCACCTAATATATTAGCATCCCTTCACTACACAATGTCCCCGGTTGACAGTCGGGAGGTGTGGCATTCTAACTGTGCTTGCTATCACTTACTGTATTTTAAATTTATTAAACCAACAAGAAAACAAAGAAAAAAAACAAAAGGAATTAAGTACAAATATATTTTTTAAGTATTTTAAAAGAAATGCTGACTAGATGACAGAAAGCAAGAATGCAAAGTAAAAACAAAAGGAATAAGTACAAATGCATATCTTTTTTAATTATTTAAAAGAAATATTGACTATCCTGCTAAACGGCCATGCTTCTGTTCTAGAAAGATGGCACCACACACACATAATGCAATGATGATTCTGTTACAAGCAGAGAATAAAAAAAGAGGGTGCTCCAAGCCTCAAAGACGTTCCTGTTAGAGAGCGAGCACGGCTGACTATGACACATCTGCTAGTTCTACAAATCCTAATGCACTTATTGCTTATAAAGCTGGGGGAAATATCTGGTAACACATTTCAATCCAGTTAGAGTATTTTCTTCAATGGTTCCCTCAAGGTGATGGCAAAGCACGTTCATCTTACTATACATACAAAACTTAACACATATGCCAATATGTTATACACAAAAAATACCTAGAGGTTTATTGTTTGAATGTTAGGAAACCCAGAACCAAGGGTATTTTAACTTTCAGTCACATGCAAGCCCAAAGCACAATGGGCAATGATGGGTACTGGCTATTAGTGAAACAAGCTGCTACACTAAGAGCTCACAGGATCATGTTTCAAGTCAATGTGGTATCAAAGGCCAGAAACTACGCCAAGAGAGATGCAGCCAACATGATTTTAACACAAGCAAATGTAAAGACGGGAACCTCTTTTCAAAAGGTATCTAATAAGCCCTGAACTGCATTACCTAAGTAATAGGGACTGCTCATTATACATCATGTGTGCAAATATTTTGGACTTCATTTTGGCTAATGCTAAGTAACTAAAACCAGATGTAGGTCACTTAACTATACAAATGCTTCCTGGGCCACGAGGAGATGTCACTATGATGTTCTGTTCCCTTTGGACAACTGGGGGGCTTCCCAGGCATCCTGCTCGGATCATACCTCTGTAACTAATGACTGTACTAATGAGATGGGTTCTCTACATTAGTCTCTTGGGTGTATAGCCCATGTGATGGCTAATCTTGGTTGTTAACTTGACTGCATCTGGAATCAACTAAAACCCAAACAGATGGGTACACTTGTAAAGGATTTTCTTGATTAGATCATTTGAGGTAGGAAGACACCCCCCCTTAAATCTGGGCTACACCTTCTAGTGGCAACCCACATAAAAAGATAAGGAGGAAGGGAGCTTTAGTTCTTTGCTTGCTTGTTCTCACTCTTGCTGGTAAGTTCACCTGTCCTGCCACTGTGGCAATCCTTTCCTGGTGTCGGAACCGACTTAGCCAGGATTCCAGGGTAGACTGAAGACTAACTGAGGCAGCAAGCCCCATGGACTGAATAAGCACCAGATTCTCGGCCTTTTCATATGAAGACAGCCATAGCTGAAGCTGCATCCCACAGCCTATAAGCCATTATAAGCTAATAATTTGCTCTGTATTTACCCTATTAGTTCTTTCCATTTACACAATTCCAACCAAGACACTTCTAGAATACCTCATCTTTCCTAATACTTTGCCAATTTTTTTAAAAGAATCATATTCAAAAACACTTTAGCAGTGAATTAGGAAATATGCTTGTTATTTTATTTAGCCATTTCTCAACTAGGTAAATGTTGAAAGGAAATGGGGTATATGTGTATACCAAAGTCTACTTAGTTAAAATTGTGTGGCAGATAATTTTAGGGGCCCCAGAATAGAAACACTCTGAACTCCCTTCATGACTGAGGACTAAACAAACTGTGGTGTGATCAACCATAGGAGTGATATTCAGCACTTAGCAGGAAGCGACTTCAGATATAGTAAGAAGCTATACAGAATTGTAACTGTATTATATTTTTTATAAAAAATTCTAGAAAATATAAACTAACTTAGAATGATCAAAACGAAACCAAGTGTTAATTGGGGGGACGGATTATAACATGACAAAGGAAATTGGGAGCAACGGAAACGTGTCCACTCTCTAGACACGGTGATGGTCTCACACGTGTAAACCAGGGGCAACGGAAATGTGTCCACTATCTAAACATGGTGATGGTCTCACACGTGCAAACAGGTCAAAGCTTGTAAGCTATACAGATTAAACATCTGTCTTTAGTACATGTCAAAAAAAAGTGAGAAAAGTGGTTACTTGGGTAAGGTAGCTTTTAGAACATCTCTCTGGAAAAGCTAAAACATGGGGGTGGTGGCGGTTTAAAGTATTTGTTACTTTGGTGGAAAAAATGAGAAAGTTACTACTGTATCCTCAGAAAGGACCATGTACTGAAAATTTGGTGCCAGCTCATGAACAATCACTGAGCTGAGAGCAGGAGGGCCCTAGCTTCATCAGTGGATAAACTCACAATGAATGGACTATTGGGCAGGGTTGGAGGTACATCATGAGAGACAGGACACAATGTCCTTGGTCCTCTACACTGCCCTAGTGTCTTCCATCTCAATTTCCTGGTACATGTTCTCACCACAGCAAGGGGGTTAGCCAAACTCACACTGGACCTCTGAGGTCAATCTGTCCCCTATGTACTGTGACACAGCAGATATGGTAGCTTTGTCACTATGGGCTTTGGGTCTGGACCTTATGAAAGGACTACAAAGTTCTAACTTGCACTAAACTTTCTAATTATTTCCGAGTTCCTCAAATGTAATCCCTGCCTCTTTATTGCCCTCATCCCATTTATCAGGGTAGATTTATTGGCAAATGCCTTCCAAAGAGGCATAGAAACTGCTTCTGTCTCACTCTGGGGCTGGGGCTGGCGCTGTCATATACGACCTCCAATTGTGAAGATGCACGCCATCACTCATGGAGTAAGACAGGCACTCAACTTTAGGTGTGTATCACACAGATATTCTTTACATGTTTTGAAATTTAAAAATTAGATTCACCAACAAAATTTTCAAAGACATAGGGAGCCATCACTGACATCTAACAGCTATCAATGCCTTGTACTTGCCTCACCATCTGCTAGATCCCCGCCCTCAGAGCATGAGCACAATGTGACTATTCCTCTTAACAGACATAAAAATTAATTATTTTGATATAACACCTGCTACATATTAAATATCTTTATTGGTGGTTGCTTCAAAACTTTTAAGCCAGATTGTTGGAACATTAATTTCTAGAAAACTTATATGGATATGTGGTTTCTTAGTATGTCTTTTTAATGTCATGGGTATGGGTATGTATGAAGTATGGGTCATCAATCACATGTTAATTGAATCCCTCAACTATCTGGCAAGATGCCCTGCAATTCGTACCCTGCATTGTCATTTAATTTGTTCATTTACCCCATATTTCCAGTCACTGGTTAATAAGTTCTAATGTGTGATAAAATTCAGGTCCATTTGTATTTTTGAACAAATCCTTTGGGAAAGTATACTTAGTGCTGACTCCAGAAGTCACAGTGTCTGAATGGCTGCTCCACGGTGCAAAGACTCACAGCACACACTTCTCTTGTGGAGGTCCCTGCTGGCTCCCACCTGATGGGGGGACCTTCAGTATCAGCTGTCTTCACTGATACTGCCATTCCTTCTGTTTTTATTATGCTCTTTGATGGAAAAGTTTTTTTTCTTTCCACCTTCTTTTTATTACCATCAAGTCAAATTCATAAGAGATTAAGACAGCACTTCCCTTAGTTCCTATTTGATAAAATGATTTTATTCCTTATCATGTGATAACCTATAAAAAGGTTAAAAATCTGGTTTACAAGTGGATTATTTCTACATAACTTTAAAATGTAGTAAGTATCAAATTAAATACACTGAAAATG